CCCCGCCTCTTCGAATGGTGCATCAAACAAGCCCCACCATTTTACCCCGCTTGGTCGGTTTGGGCGAGTGCAACAAGACATATAACCTCGGCTCTTGTCGTTGTCCATGCATCTCGCTTCCCTTCCTCCAGCAACCTTTGCCATCCTCCTCCTCCTCTGATCCTTGAAGGATCTCTCTGCGACGTCCGCCACGCCGCTGTCGTAACCCTGTTCTTGCCATCGAATCATATTTCTCGGATTCGAGGCTCGAGTCATTTCTCGGAATTTCACCGAATTTCACCGAATTCACCGACAAAGCTAAGAAATCGCCCGCTCCCCACCTTCCTCCCCATCCACCACCACAATCATGGGCTTCCTCTCTCGAGTCGAGGACCGCCCGACCCCGTCGGCGGTCTACAACTGGCGAGTATGGGTGCTTTCGTTCATCGCATCGTTTGCTTCCATCATGATCGGGTACGTACTGTGCGCAGAAGAACAAAAAAATTTCGCCCGCAAACTCTCTGACCTCGCGCGCTCCTTGCCCATGAACCTACAGATATGACTCTGCCTTCGTCGGCGGCACCATCGCACTCCCTTCGTTCCTCAAGTCGTTCGGCAAGCTCTCCAACAACACTTCGGGCAACCTCGTGTCGACGTACCAGGCCGGTGCCTTCTTCGGCGCCTTCCTCGGTCACCCGCTCGGCCACTTCTGGGGCAGGAAGAGGGGTCTCTTTGTCTGCTCGCTCGTCTTCACGATCGGTGCAGCCATCATGACTGCCGCCTCGCCCTCGACCCACCTTACCCCTATCTACGTCGGTCGCGCCATTGCCGGTATCGCCATCGGTGCCGCCTCGAACCTGACACCCATCTACATTTCCGAAATCGCCCCTGCCCCTGCTCGTGGTCAGGCGATCGGCATTTACGAGATCGGCTGGCAGATCGGTGGCATTGTCGGATTCTTCATCAACTACGGTGTCATCCAGACCCTTCCCCCCAGCGTCAAGCAGTGGCGAATTCCATTCGCCGTCCAGCTTATTCCCGGTGGCATGTTCATGATCGGCACCTTCTTCCTCGTCGAGTCCCCCCGTTGGCTGCTTCAGCGCGGCCGTGTCGAGGAAGCCCGCGAAAAGCTGTCGTACATCCGACACCTGCCCGTCGACCACCCCTACTTTGTCGAGGAATTCAACGAGATGCACGCCGCCATCGACGAGACTAGGCGCGCCGCCGGCGGCGACTCGTACTTCGCCCCCTTCAAGTACCTCTTCTCCCGCAAGCACCTCGTTCGTCGTCTCGCCTTCGCATCCAGCCTCTTCCTGTTTCAGAACGGCACCGGCATTAACGCTATCAACTACTATTCGCCGACCGTATTCAAGTCTATTGGCATCACGGGCACATCGACGGGACTCTTGACGACGGGAATCTTTGGTATCATCAAGACGACCGGTGCGGCGCTCTTCATCCTCATCCTCGTTGAGACGGTGGGCCGACGCCGCCTGCTCATGGTTTCTTCGTCGGGTGGTGCGGTCGCCATGTACTACATCGCCGGCTACATCGCCATCGCCAAGCCGGCCCAGCACAAAAAGTCGTCGCTCGACGCTGGAGGAACCTCGGCGCTGGTCTTCTTCTACATTTGGACGTGCTTCTATTCGTTCGGATACAACCCTATTCCATGGGTCTACGGCGCCGAATCGTTCGACAACACTGCCCGACCGGTTGCGCAGATCTTCAACGCGGCGAGCAACTGGCTGTACAACTTTGTCATCTCGCAGGCGACGCCTCACATGTTCGCCAAGATGGGCTACGGTGTCTACCTGTTCTTCGCGACCATGATGGTGATCAGCACGGTGTACATCTACCTCTTCATGCCCGAGACCAAGGGCATTCCCATCGAGGAGATGGACAACCTGCACGAAAAGAGGCCGCAGCGACACGCGCACAAGATGGTGCTCGAGGAGCTGCGCACGCGCGCCGCCGAGAGGCGCGGCGAGGCGGTTCTTGCGGACCAGGCCGAGTCGCGCGACGACGCATCCAGCGCCGACGAGAAGGAGGCCAACCAGGTCAAGATCTCCACCGCCTGAAGACCATAGACACATGCACGGTGTTTGCTTCAAGGATGTCATGCTGGGCGACGAGAGGTTGACAGCATGACAGCGCGGCGTTTGGATTAAAAAAAATGTTTTCTTTCTCATGCTTTTCGAATTGTAATTTTATGGGCTTCCACACCGCGTCTTTGATGCATGGCGAAAAAGAATCTTTTCCCTTTTCTTTCGATTTTTTCGATTCCGATTTTTGAAGGGAGCGCGTGCGTGCGGAAGTGTGCTTGTCTCGCGCGAGAAGAACGGGTTGGCTTCTCGTCTTCCGAAAGCCGCAGATAGAAGCGCAGAGGAGGCGCTGCGAAGCCAACTCTACGCGGACCCGCGCACAGAGCTCTGCTGCCCGCTGCCCATCTCCACCACTTGCCGCTGAGTCGGAGCGCTCCTTGTTCACCACCACCACCCCTTACTTGGCGTCCTCCGCTCCTTTCCACCCATTCTACCTGCTCGTCGGCCCTGTCAAGCTTTCTATCTGCTGCACTCCTTCACAATCGCGCTGTTTGGAGCGTAGCTTTACTCTGCTCGATACGTCCCGCTCCATACTAGACTCTTCCACCCAGGCCGCTGCAACAATGGCAGGTGCACTTGACGACGAGCTTCTCGCGCTCGCAGGTTCTTCCGAGGATGAAGGCAGCCGTCCGCGCACCAACAAGCGCTCACCCTCGCACGGCACATCGTCGCTGGCCAAGAAGCGGCGGCTCGACCTGCTCGACGAGTCGGGCTCGGGCTCGGATGCCGATGCTCCCGGATCGGACGACGATGCTGCGCCCACGCGCCGCGCCCGACCGCGCGCCTCTTCCTCCTCCGACGAGGTCGCAAACCCGTACCCGTACCAGGGCATCTACAAGTCTGCACGCGACATGGAGGAGCTCATGGCGATGAACGAGCTCGAGCGCGAAGACATCCTCGCGCGCCGCAGAGACGAGCTCAACCAGCGCAGGCAAAAGGTCGAACTGGCCAACCTCGTCAAAATGCAGCAGGCGGCTGCAGGCGCCTCCAAGAAGGCGGCGCGCAAGCACGAGACCAAGAGCAAGCGCCGTGTCGTCCGTGGCGGAGGCGATGGTTCCGACTCGGACCTCTCCGAGAGCGAAGACGAGGATGCGGATGGCGATAGCGACTTTGCGTACAGCGGCGCCGCTTCGGCCGCAAAGAGCCGCAGGAAGAAGATGCCCGGCCAGACCGATGCCAAGTCGGCCAAGCTGTCCGAGCTGCGCAAGAAGCGCAAGGAGAAGGCGGCTGGCACCACCTCTCGCTTTTCGGACGACGAGGACAAGGTGCGCTCGCGACGCGGATACGCAAGTTCGTCCGACGACGACTCGTACGCCTCGTCGGACGAGGACGATCCGTACTCGCGCCGGGGCAAGGACACGCGCCGCAGCCGCGCCGACGAGGGAGGTAGTTCGGAGCCGCCGAGCCTTGCCGAGCTCAATGCGGCGCGCATCAGCCGCGAGCGCATCGAGCAGCGTCTGTACGCCCCGCGCTGGAAAGACGTGCTGACGGGTGCATTTATCCGTTTTGCCTGGAGACGCGCGCGCGAAGACGGACAGGGCACCGAAGAGGTCTACCGCATCCACCAGGTGACCGACGTGCACGAGAAGCCCGGCAAGTTCTACGACCTCTCGGACGACCGCAGTGGGCGGTGGTGCAACGTCTACCTCTCCTTTGAACATGCAGGCGAAGAGCGCGAGATCCGACTGTCGAACCTGTCGCGTTCGCCGTTCATCGAGTCGGAGCGCGAGCGCTGGCTGGTCACACTGCCGGCGTACAAGCAGAAGATCCCGCGCGCCAGCTCGGTGGCTGCCAAGGCGGACGAGCTGGAGAAATTCTTCGATACGCCGCTTACCGAGGCGGACATCAAAAAGGTGCTCGAGCACAAGAAGAAGATTCGCACCCAGGCCGCCTCGGTCATGGGCAGTGGCACGCCCAGCACCACCGACTCGGACGGTGGAAAGAGCCTCGAGGCCAGGCTGGCGGCTGTGCACGAGAAGAACCGCGCAAAGGACCGCTCCCGACCCGACGCCAAGTTGAAGCACAAGTTGGCCCCGAGCACCGCTGCGTCCGGTACCGCCACCCCGACCGCACCCGAGCACAGGCAGCCGGCGCCCCAGATCACCAACAAGTTTGTCACGCTGCCCAACTTTGCCGCCACGGTCAATGTCGATCTGGGCGATTTTTAGATGGCACCTTGAATGCGAATGCCCGAATACATGCTGCTTGCAATGGGGAGCGCAGATGGCTGTGCTGTGGTGGTTCGCACTTCTGATGGCGCGTCAGATCGCTTTCTCGAAGTCGTGCGGGGTTTGTAAAGACACAAGTGGCGGAGGGGGAATCACACTGGCATGGGGTCAGCTTGATGCGCTAGATGCGGAAGCGGTGGTGCGAGGTTTGGTTGGGTCTATGTCCTAGCGCCGGTGCACATGGGCCGGGACAAGGGGCGCAGCACACCTTGACGTCCAACCCGCACTCAGCATCAACAGGCGCGTTATCGAATGGTGATTTGAGCCGATCTTTCGCGCCATTGGGTGCTAGCTTTGGGAGTGCGCACAGCGCAGTGAAGCAGCATTCGACGACGTTAGGTGCATTCTACACTGCGTAGCGGCGCGCATCGATTGGCAGTGCAAAGCCGATGTCCACGTTCGCTCATCGCCCAACGATCCAGATGAGACTCGATCTGTGTCCGAGCTTGGGTGAGAGACAGGCGGTTGGCAATCACTGGTTGCCATCGCTTGATCGCAAACGCCAGATGCGGGCTGCGTCTACCCGCACTGCAATGTGGATGAAACCCCCGCTCACATGCGCACCTTGCTGGCAAGGGAGCGTCAAACTCAGACGCGCCTGTGACGAGAGCCCGATCGGTTGCGCAAGAGCTGGCTATCCGCAATTACCGCCTGTAGTAGACTCGAAGCGCAATCGCCGTCCAATGCAGGATGGATGCGACCGTGTGCAGGATCGCAGCTTGGACTTGTCTCGGGGCTATGCGTGCGGGACACACAAAAGCCGCACCTCTTCAGACCAAAATGAGATGCGCAAGCATATCTCACTTGCAAGAGCTAGCAGACTTAGTCGACAATGTGTCGATCCTCCTGCTCGGTGCCGCGCCGCTACGGCCTAGATCAAAGAGAGCATGCGTCCGTGCGTCATGTGCATGACCGGCAGTCTGAAACCCTGCAAAGCCGTGAGGACTGTGCGTGTGCGCGCATCAACAAGTGTCGAACTCAATAACAAGCTCAGGCCGAACGATCAGAATTCAATCACACCCATGACTCGCCTTGGCCGATTCGCACGGGGCGGAAGCGTATGATACATTGCTGAGGTTCCTGATCGAGAGTCTTCTCTTGATGCGCTGCGCATCAGCGGAAAGAGAGTGTGTGTGTCAATCCGCCCATCAAGCAGTGCGGGTTAGTCCGGCATGCCGTTGCACCGCTTCCAATCGCACAAAGCTCCTCGACATCGCTTGTTTTGAATGTTGGTGTGCAAATTTGCCGAATGCGAGCGCTCTGAGTCATGCGGCCACTAGTTGTGCTCTCGCAGCAGCGATTGTCACTCAGCCACATGCTCAGAAAGCTTGATGCCGCTGTGTGCCAGACTCAACGGCGTTCATTCGGAGGACGGGGCGCTTATTCGGAGGACGGATGGCCAGGTTCACTCGCCGGAACAAGACAAGCAAAGCTCCGAGGACGATCGAGTTACGACCTCGGCGGGAGAATCCACGCGGGGCAGCAGGGAGCGCAACAGGATTGAGAGGAAACGCCAAAAGTCCATCGTGTCGGACCTGTGCGCCCGGGGCTTGCTTAGTCGACAAGTGGAGGGGCAGAATGAATCGCAGATGCGACAAGGTCGTACTCGATAGGCGCCGCTATCGGCTGCATCCCTCGTCGCCCCGCACGGGATCGCCTTTGTTTGGCCGGGGTAGCATATTGAAATCGAAAAGCTGTCGTACAATGAGTCCCTTTTAACAATGTGATTGCGTAGGCTGCGATATCTCCAGGGGGGGGGGGGGGGGGGGAGGAAA